CATACTCTTAAGATTTACGTCACCAACAACTGTGTTAACTGTGCTCTTCACATAGTAAAGATGGTTTAGGAAGTCCACAGTACACTAAAGAAAAGGATCATGTTTGAGCAGAAATTGTCTGGCAGTCACAACTGGGGTTTCTAGCAGAACTACACCGTTTCATCAGGACAGGGAGGGCGGGCAGGCAGTCTGTCTGCAAGCGGTTGGATGTCTTAACCTCCCCACTAGGCATATTGGCTTGTAATATTTATTTAATGTTGGTAATCAGGATTTTGCTAAGGATGTGGTTCATATATGGAAGGTAAAAGTGAGGAAGCTTTTGTCAAGGAATATAAAGGATTGCAGGGGCATTTAAATGCAAGGGATAACATTTTTCTTTAAAATGAGAGGAAAGAGTAAAGATATTGTCAAGTGGGAACTGTATGAGAGGACAGAGGAGGAGCAGGTACCCCAAGCGGTATGTGCAAGAGCAGTTCTAAAGATTCGTGCTTTGGTATGTTCATGCTACAGCATAGCTGTTGAGTTCTGTGACCTTCAAACGTTTGAGCCCCACCTCATTCACTACATCGTTCTTTTACCACATCAGTTGCTTCTTATACTGTGGTAAACTCTTCATGGCAGTGGCACCTCTCCTGTGTCCATGCTTTATCCCGTGTGTTCCAGCAATGAAGTAACAGATGAGCAGCCATCATTATGCTACTGCTTTCCAGCTGTGATATTGCTGTGCCACTTTTAATAATTCAGAAGTGGTGGAGAGGTGGGAGAGCGAAGGGCTGCAGGAATCTTTGTTTCTCTGTAGCGTGATTCCTCCTTGGTGGCTCTTGAGTTACCACGGAAACGGGAGAGGGATGACACAGCACCGCCGGACTCATGGGTCGGTTGGTGGTGGCGGCACTTCAGCACGAAGGGATAATACAAGGGCTTCCCCTTCTCTGGTTTGGTGCTGTTCCCCATCTTCCCTCAATGGTTTTGTGAAATTTGATTGTTAAACAGGTGAGGCTCCCAAATATTTGTTAAAGAGACTTTTTTGTTACTGATTCAGGTGAAAATATGCAGTGTCAGAAAAAGCATTACTGGTGGTCTGGAGGAGTTGGGGTATGATCATGAAATCTTTCACTGATATAAACTGGAGTCCTGGTTACAGTCAGACTGTCACTACTGGAAGGTTGTTTAATGTGTTTGAAATGAACTGGTACTTTGGGAAATAGATCTACTGGAAAAGACTAAGGACCACTTGACTGACATTTGTTCAGTGCAGCATTCTCTGTTTTGATGAAGGCTGAATCTCATCTCATTACCAGTTTTTAGTAATTAAAATATCTATCCTAATCACCTCTCACACTAGCTATACTGATGTGCATAATACCAGTCTTGAAGCTATGGAGAGAGAGACATATAAGAGAAAGGGAACAGCATCCTGAATCTCAGGTTGTTATAGCTGCCAGTGGCTGTGCAGTACGGGCACTGGGAGGTGGAGGATGGGCAGGCGTGGTTACTCACTGCACGTGGTTTAAGGCTGTATCCATCTTTAAGCTTCCTAATATGTTAGCATCAGCTGTGCTGTTTGCTTTATGTCTGTGTTACAGGCTTAGATTTCCATCTATTATGTTGGAGTTGTTCTGCAGGAATGACTAAAAGCCTCTTACCTAGGGATCAGAGTGGAACTTGGTGACTGGCTTGAGATGTACTGTTGGACTATTTGCTAAATATAGGCAGAAGGAGACTATTCAGCTTAGTATCTCTGTCCCTCCTTTCAAGGATAGTGACAGATATGACTAGACAGATAATGACTAGAAAAAGGTTAAACAGGATTTTCTGGAAGAAGTTAGTTTGTTGGCAGCTGCCTGGCAACTGTTTGCTTTATTGCTCTGAAATGGGACCAAGACAATAAAATGCCATGTAAACCCATTCTTCTTTTGAATTTTGTAGCAAATAAATACTGGGTTTCCACACCAGAGACTTCTGTTGAAGTCTGCCTTCCACAGGAGATTTGTCACTATGGGAGCAGCTACGAGGTTTAATTTTCTTCTGCCCAGTTTATATACACAAGTGAGGTATCCCTGTAAAGTGAGCCTACATATGAACTTTAAATTTATTTACAACCACATAATGAATGCTTTTCTCACAGTTACGTTTGGGAAACCTTTAGAAATAGTTCACAGAGCTTCTCTTGCTCTCCATTTGCCTCCCTAGATTCTGCAGACTCAGGGTTCAAAGCCTTGAATGTGGAATAACTACTTCAAATTTGTAATCCATGAAGCAGAGTTCAGAGAAAATACTAAGTATGTGTAGCAAAAGCTTAACCATAAAGTTCAGTATTTTTCCTCCAGAATGGCAGATTTATTGAATTTAATTGCTGGTGCTTTAAAATTCTCATTAAAATAGAGTGGAACAACACAACTGGGCACCAGAAGTGATGTTTAGGAAACCCTGCCCTGAGTAATTTCTTGCAACTATCCTTGTGTCTTCAAAAGGGGTGCTACTGTGGTACTCACAGTTCTGAGATTTGTGTTCTATTCTTTTTCATTTTCAGTTGTGGGTTTCTTGGGATTTGTTATGTTTTAGAAAATCAGCCTTTGGAGAAGTAGACATTGACAGCAAAAGAGCTGCACTGGAAAATAGTAGTTCAAGACGGAGTTATCTTCTGTTTTATCTAAATATGGCACTGCTGGGCTTAGCTTTGGTTCTCTCTGAATCTAACATGTTGAATGTGCTCTTATTACTTGATAATGTTTTCAGTATAAACTTCAAATTGCATCTGAAACACAAGTTTGTTGTCTCTAATACATGCTCATCTGTAGCAACTGTTCTTCAGTTTCAGTTAACATACAAAGTGGAATGGAGTCCAGCACAGTAGTTCTTAGCACTGTTGCTTTTGCCAAAGTTAAAAATGCACTCAATTATTGCCACTGAATTCAGGAGGCATGTCTGAACTCAGAAAGCATCTGTTGAGTGTATGATGTCATTTTTATGAAATTATTCTCTAGATTAGAATTGCAGGTTAGGAAAAAACCCTGACTTCTACTGCAAGTATAGTAAAATTATCAAATCCTATTCTTACAGAGTGATTGGGATTAATTTCCTGTTCTGTGTTACTGCAGTGAATAGGCTCATTATCCCTAAACTACAGGAAACTGCTTAGTGTTTTGTATGAGGATCTGCAAAATGCTTGTGTTTCAAGGAGCTTGACTTTTAAGGACCCATGCACATCTTCCCTCTGCCCCAGGAGCTGATGTAAAATGAAAACATGGCAGGCTATGAAAAAGCAACTGAGAAGCAGTTCATGTAAAACTGTGTACTGCACAGGCATGTGAGCTGTGTAGGATTGCTTGTGTAATTCTGGCTCAATTTTGTGTAATCCTGGTGCTCAGCAATGGTGTGATTGCTATATATTTGGAGTAGAAAATGACAATTTTGTTGGGTTTGTAACTGACACTTTTTTAAAGGATTTTACTTCAACTTTTATCTGAAAAGTAATCTCAGAATCTTTCAGTTGGTAAATATGTAATTAAAAGGATGTATATGATTAGGGCTAAAAAACTGTAGTCTAAACAGGTTACAGGAACGCTTCAACAGAACTGATTCAGTGATGGTTTTGCTCTTGGTTCTTCTCATCCTCTATGAGTGTATTAGAAGAGCTACATCTAATAAAAGATAATATTCTGCCTCCTAACCCAGTGACTCTAAGCTCAGAAACTAATTCTGCTGTTACTGATTGCTGAGGTGTAAACAGACAGGATCTGAACGCTTGCAGAAGTTGGCTCCCGAGTGCTAGGAGATGGGTGCAAGGACTTGGTTACCCTTTTGACTCTTAGCTTACTTCTTTGTTTCATGCTCCCCCCCCCAAAAAAAAAAAGTTAAAGTAGTATGATAGTTGTTTCTCCCTCCAAAAGACATGCTATACCTGAGCTTCCAAGTCTTACTGTAATTGTTTCTAAGTTTCCTTCTTTGGGTTTTAAACAGATCAACTAAAATAGCATTAACTTATAATAACTTGTGGAGGAATATGTTGACTCTAGTATTATCCACTGTTGTTTTTTTGCTCCTGATTTGGATAAAGGACAATTGTGATTACTTAGGAAAGCTGTTCAGAACAAGGGGAAAAAAATAAGAAATACAGGACTTAATGTTTACGAGATACTGAAAGAAATAGATTTTAATTTTGCATGTTAATCTTGGGTTAAAATTTTCCACATAAAGATAGTATCATTATTAAAGCTTATTAAAAGCTTCTTTATGAGTCTAAAAAGCACTGAATTGGATTTTAAGTCAGTTTTTTATATTTAATAGAAAATACCTTATTTTATGTAAAATTCTAGGGTTCCTGTACCAGCCCCATCCTTTTCCTAGGATCTTTTTGATAGATCTCTTGTATAGGTATCCCAGTTTGTGTGTAGTAACTTGTTAGCTGTCAAAAGGATTGACCAGCCTCTTGCATAGAGGGATTCTTAAAGAGTTACTATAAAGAATAGGGTTTGGATTTTTTTTTAATGTTCTTAAAATTTTGGCATGAATCAAGCGCAGTTTCTGCTGCAAGAGTTTGAGGAGTAAAGCTGTATTTACAGATAAGGGGAAAAGGCATTTGACAGTTAAAGGCATTTTAGGGGCTGCAGCTCGTTTTGTTAGATGATAAAGGTATTTTGTCTTGCACAGATGATGGAGTGGTCCTCCATACAACTCTGTTGCCACTTTAGCTGTTATTGGCAGGCTTTATAGAAGAGGAGTGCTTTATCCCTTTGATTAGACCTTGACTGCCACTCAAGAACCAGATACAGCTTGCAGCCATCTTGCTCCAACTTGTGCAAGCCTGTGATGAAAGAACATGAAAATAGATGCTTAAAGCATGCCCTCCCCCCCATCCTCTGAGTTTGAAAGGCTTACTGAGGTTCATCAGAGAAAAAATCCCTCATTTTTGGAGAATTCTGAGCTTTGGTTTGCAATTGAGCGCCCCTCAGAGAGGATTTTGAAAGTTTACTTGCCTCTCTGCTATGTATTTTCAGGTGCTCTCACAGTTGGCCTTGTGCGACAGTGTCAAACCATCCATGGACGTGACAGGACCTGTATTCCTCCACGGCTGCCTCCTGAGTGGGTCACTACGTTATTTTTCATCATTATGGGAATCATTTCACTAACTGTCACATGTGGTTTGCTGGTGGCTTCCCACTGGCGAAGAGAAGCTACTAAATATGCCCGCTGGATAGCTTTCACTGGAAGTAAGTGACCTCAACCTCACAGTTGACCTGTATACAGGATAAACTGGTGGAGTCTGCAGTAACACTATAGTGTTGTTTAGGAGCACTGCTTAGGGTTCTTACTATACAAACCATTCCTTCTCTTTAAATGCCACATCTGAGGAAAATATAATATTCTTCAAAAATCAAGGGGTTTGTATCTTAAGTGACTGTGATTGAGAGGGAGTAATAGAATGTGGGCCCAAGGTGAGATAAAGAAAGGCCTAATCCTTTTACCTTCCTTGGGCAGTGTATTAACTGACCTAAGAAAATGAGCAGGGATAGAGGAGGTCAGTCCTGAATTGTGCATATGATAGTCTTTCATTCTTCTTCACTCCCATATATCTAAGGTTTATTCCTAGCAGAGTGGAATGACTAAAGATTGCCTCCCCAAGGAAGAGGCAGCAGTTTGATAGATATGACTTACTGCAGTAAGTCTAAAATCCATCCCTCTTTCAGGTGTCTCATGAATACCTTGTTCGGGGTTGATTCTGGTTCAGTTGTTCATGCTCACAGTAGCTGTTATATTCAGAGTATCTGCATCCTAATTGGCTATGCAAGAGGACTGCCCACTGCAGAGCATCTGCTGTGCTTCACAGCACTGAGAATTTTGCTTCCCTAAGTGACCTGCAACAGTGCTCTAACTGGAAGGAGGAGTATCAGTGTTTTATTGCCTCCCTTGATTCTGCTCTGAGCTCTAGTACAACTCCTCATAGCTGAGCCTTCTCTAGCAGCCCTATGCTTCTACACAGGGAAACATATCCTATGGGTACTTCAGTGCAAAAGAAAAATACAGTGAGGAAGGGGAATAACTTTTAAACTTCCTTTTCTTGGTGTGTGTTACAGGCTTAGCCCAACTGTGAAACGGTGCCTTAATGGTGGGGATGACTGCATGAAAAAAACTCAAAACCTGAGGGCTTTAAAGTTGCCTTGAATTATGACATACCACTAAAGGTAGCGTGAACGCTAACTAGAAAATGCAAGTTTGTGGTTTCCATAGGCATAAATAATTCTGTGGCATCTGTGACACCTAATGATATCTACTATGAATGAGATTTAACCTTGTTTTGGGGAAGGGAATAATATAAAAAAGCGCTCAGCTACAAAAAAAGTACTTCACCGAGGCACTTGTACAATCAAACCCATCCTTCTGACAACTTTGCTACACAGCATATTAAAGTAACAGTGCAGCTCTTGCAGACAATGGAGCTATTGAAATGGTGTATCTGTTGTGATTGACTTCAGTTTATTATCTGGTGAAAGATTAAAATGTCAGACAAGAGTATTACTGAATATTCCATCCCAAGATTTCCAGTACCCTTGTTTGTATATACATATTTCATGTATGTCTAATGTATGCAGGGAGGGTTTAAACTGAAAATGTCATATAAAATTAAGATGTTTACAGTAAGCTGAAGTCAAAGCTCTAGAGTAAAATGGGTTTTTGGAGTACTGTACATCAACAGTTAATATCACAATATACTTACAAAGGGTTTTTTTCCTTAATTCAGAGCTTGTATTTTGGGCTTTACATATTGTAATGTTTTAAAATATCTCCAGTTGTAACATCCCTGCATCTTCAGTTTTCTACAACTGTGATGGTTAGTTCAGCCGAAAAGCCTGGTACTCTAAAGCTGTTTTCTTTTTCTATAGATCTCTTTAGGCTTGCAACAGATCCATTATTGGAAGACTAAATATAGAAGGACACTTTCATTTCAGCACTTGCCTTTTTGTTATATGATGTTTAATAATGAAACACACTGATCTTTTCTCTTGCAAGTCAGTTATTTATACTTCTATTAAGATACAATCTCTGCATCACTGAAATTCTAAAATTCAACATCTTGGGTAGTCAGCTTCAACACATACAACTGTGACCTTTGCATTCCAGTTAATGCCAATGGGAAATACTGTTGCTTAACTTGTAAGAGGAGAGACTTAAAACCCCAAAATGAAAGGGAGGAAAAGTTCTGTATTTTTCATTTTTCAAAAAATTGATGTGACTTCTGTTTTTCATTAGATGGCCACAAAAATTAGTAACCTACTTGTAGATCAGTATTAGGAAACCATGTGGAGTCAATCTGGAATACCGTGAACAGGTCCCTCCTGTGGAATGCCAGTGCTATAAGATGAAAACATGTAGAAGGGGGTAGGGAAAACATAGTTGTATTACATCTCTTCTGCAAGCAGTTTCAAGACTCACCAGCTTCGCACAGGCTGCTAGCAGATATTCTTCCCACAGAACTTTCTGAACACAACATAGGATGTACTACCCTAGACAGGCAGGAAAGTCTGCTGGGACTGCCAAAGGCAGCTCTGGGACTCTGGCAGCTCCATTCCCTTTGAATGCAAGGGTTCTAGAGTAAATCATCTAAAGGCAAAGGAATTCTCTTGCTCAGTCCTTTCCTTGCAACTCTTGATAGCAGCAAGGAGAGCCTGGTAAGAGGGTCACTCTTTCCCAGTTCATGCTGGAATTTACGTGGCAATGTGTAGTTCATATTTTTCAAGGAATTTCTTCTTGTAATCTTGTTATCTTGGGTGCCTTCAGATTTTTTCAACCATGTACTTACAAATATGAATTACTGCTGAGAGCAGTATTGTCTGTCTTGGTTACCTATGGGACACATGAAGGACAAAGGTTTGATCTGTCAATTCTCTTTCCTGTATACACTTCTAAAGGGAAACATCTGAGAGAGTATTTACTAGCACAGTGTTTGCATCCTTCCCCAGCTGGGTGACTTTACTACACAGAAACTTGTCTTTCTGGTTTCTCTACAAAACAGCTTTGTAGAGAGGAGAGATGTTTCCTTCTTCCAGGTAATATTGTGTGAGTGACATAAGTCTTCTAAAGGCAAATGTGAAAGTTTACCTTCAGTTTCTGTAGAGTTTTTCAAGAATCACAGTATTCTTTCTGGTGTGATAGGTAAACTTTGGGCATAGTTTCATCAAAACTAGCACTGATGTTTGAGTCCTGTTTAGTACCAAATTCATACAATGTAATGGAGATTAGATTCCTTCTTCGTGTTCATTCCTTGGCTGTTGCAGGAATTCACAGAGCTCCCCCAAGATCTGTTTACATCTTACACAGATTTTGGTCTCTTAACATCTGCTACAACTAGAAATGGAATTAATTCTGTGTCTGTTACCACTGAATGAGATGCTTCTCTGAGATGTGTCAAGGGAGGGGATGCTGGACAGAAAAATATTTCTGCCTTACCATATAGTCTGTTACTGTTTTGCCAGAGGATTTCAGTGTTGATGAGTATGATGGCCTTGGGTTTTGGAATGCAAGTAAAAATGGGGCAGAGTAATCACATTTTTAATTAACCGCAGCTATCATGTAAATGTCTATCCCTGGTGTTCCCCAGTGATAAAGTGCTGCTTGAGTTACTAAAGATTTGTGCCAGGTGCTGCTTTCTATGTTACCCATCTCTAAAGAGACAAGCAGGTATTACAATGAATCCTCTAAAGACTAGACCATAGCTTTTTCCTTCTTTTAATATGCTGTATCCTGGATTTTTGAAGTTGTCGTTGGATGCTCAAAATGATTTCAAGCTAAAGAATTACAGGAACTAGATCTTTTTGTGACAGCCACCATCCAGAAGCAGTCTAGAAATTGTGTTTTGTTACCTAAATATTTTTGTTAGTAGAAATTGTAGTCATTAAGTATCTTTTCTGCAAATTTTCCTACCCAAGGAAGAATTTTAAATCAAAAGCAACTACTCTTGAGGAAGAGGTTCTGTTGTATGGGTTGCTGGGAATTGTTTCTGGAAATTCACTGAGTTAGTACTACCAGATACGGAGAGTTGTATTTGGGCTACAGCTTGTGTAAGAAATTCCTATCCTCTAGCTCACATATCTCCTTCATAGAAAATACACTAAATTAACTGACCAGTTCATATATTGAATTTTCTCCATATTTTCTTAATTTTTTATATTGGATTTTCTCCTTAGCTGCTGCTTATTAAAATAAATTTATCATGCAGTCTTTTTTTAATGACTTGTCAAACCTTTGCCCTAATTCCTTTGTCAGGCTTCCTAATCCAAGAGAGACTTTGATGAATCCATTTTTTATTTGCTATTTCAGTAGACTAAAAAACTCGGACCACACTAAGAAAATTGCTTGGACACCCCCATAGCAGAACATGTGCGCTGTGAGGATGCAGAGTGGAAGAGAAAAGATGGCTGGTTACTTGTGTAGTGAATGTGTGAAATGTGTGTGCACATCAGCATTCTGCACACACAGAAGTTATTTTTTGGTCCTGCTGTGAACTGATGGAGAGTTGAGGTGCCTGCACCCTTCTGCCTCCGGGCAGAACACAAGGAGACACCGGGCACACACTCCACAGTGCCACTAGCAGGTTGCAAACCTGGTGTGCTATGTCCAGCACACCTCGAAGAACAGTGGTTTAGTAGAGAGGATTAAAGATCTGTTCTTCAGCCATATCCATGAATCCATCAGAACTTCTCCAGCTGTGTGGTTCTTGAATATAGTAACAGAGATTTAATCTTGGAAGTGCAGGTTGTTTTCTGAATCCTGAAGCTATTTCCTGTGTTACTGTTAAAATGTTGCAGAAGTTTTGTAAATAACTGGAATGCTTATCAGGGACTAACTGGATGTAATAGGAAGCGTGCTGAGTTATGATAATGTGACTTACCCTCAGAATATTGTTCAGATTGTTACTTATTGTACATGTGTGGTACTAATTACACATCAGCCTGTTTTCTGGACCACTCAAGCGTGGAGCTCTTCTATGCTTACACAGATGTGCTCAAGAAGCACATACCCAAGCTTCCTCTCCTCAGATAGACCAGCTGTTGTCTCCCTTTTTTCAAATGTATCTTAACCATTCCTTAAGGATTAGTTTGTGTAGTGTGGAATTTCATGGACCGATAATCGTGTAGATTAAAACCTATCAGATTATTTAATGTTTAACCTCTGGTTGCCAGTTGTTTGGTTTTGTTTTAATAGATGGCCTAGCGAGGTAGGACTGAGCAAGAGTGTAGTAACTATGCAGTTGCCAGATGGTTTTTGTTTGTGCTCTATTTCTTCTCCTTTAACAAATATTCTGAGGTGTTGCTACATTAAAAGCGAGACCGGAGCTCCCTCTCCTGGAACATCTGGGTTTTTTCCTTTCCTGAAAGCAAGGAGCAGCTGATGCTCCGGTTGGAGACCACGGTTCATGAAACCATCCTTTTTTGTTTATGCCCAAGTTCTGCTTGGACACATTTTGAGTTCAGATTGATCATGCCCCAAACTAGTCTCTTCTATGGAACATGAGTGCTTTTGTCCTCAAAACTGAGGCCTGTGCTATGCACATCATAAGCTTTGAGCATTGAGATATATGGGATAAACTATTCATCTTGGATAAACATGGAGTCCTTTAAAGTTTTTACTATGGGCAGGTAACACCATAGCTGGATAAACTGGAGCATGTGTGTGTAGTCAGGAAAAGCATTAGTGAAGTTACATTAAAAATATTGGGGGTGCTCCAGCCTATCATTTCCTGGTTTGGAAAGACTAGAAACTTTGTCCTGGTAAGGCCAAAGGGGACAGGCGAGCTCCTGAATCTGTTTTATGTACCTTGGAAACAAAAGCAGCTGCAAAACTGCTGACTTGCACAGGAACCAGTGATTAAGGTTGCCAGTGGATTTTACTGTTGCCTGTTTGACTTGTGGGGAAGCTGAAGCAGGGAATAGCATCCCCACTTTGTTCTGTGTCTTAGTGGTGGAGACAAGAAGGGGAAGAAAAAGACAGCACACGGGTCCCTTACTAACAAAACAAAAAGCAGCAATATGTGTTACCTTAGGGAAGACTGAAAAAATCAGCATGAAAAAGTCATGGGCAACCTGATCTAGATGAAGATGTCCCTGCTCATTGTAGGGGGTTTGGACTAGGATGACCTCTGGGAGTCCCTTCCAACCCAAACTATGCTATGATTCTGTGTTTTAAAAGCAAGATAAAGCCTCCTCAGTCATTTCAAGCAAATTAGGTACTGGAATCAGCTCTTCAGTTTGGTCAGAATGCTTTGCTTGCTTTTCTGGACTGCTCTATGAACAAGTAAATAATTTTACCTTAACACAGCAGTGACCATTTTTTTTTTCTTTTCTTTCTTTGCAGTGATTCTATTCTGTATGGCAGCCCTAATATTTCCAATAGGATTTTACATCAGTGAAGTTGGAGGTCAACCATATAAATTACCCAACAACACAGTGGTTGGGTCTTCATATGTACTGTTTGTCTTATCCATTTTCTTTACAATAGTTGGACTTTTATTTGCTGGCAAAGTTTGTTTACCTGGCTGATGAATGTCTGAACTGTGGGACTTCATTTTGGAAAAGAGCAAGACATCAGAATTGCATTCTCAGGAGGATGCCTGGATCAGACTGTCAAACACGTACTGAAAAGAGGAATGCTTTGACTTGTTCTCACTATGCACTTTGGATGAAAAAAGGAGAGCCTTTCCCATAACCAAATACAGACAACACTGACTAATCTCCTGAGCATATTTTAATGCAGTCAGGTCTGCACTGTGATAGGAACTAGTGAAGAATGCTTCACACTGAGAAGCATAATGCCCTGTGTTACTGTACAGTTCCTGTTTTTAACGTCTCACGATTTGGAAGTCAATTATGAACTTTGTGGTAGACCAGAGGGTTGCAGAGGAATTCAGGTGAGGCTGGCCTCACTGTTTAGGAGATTACTATTTTACATCTTCCTTCTAATGAGCAAAGCCTTTGGCACCAATGTGGATCAATCTTGCATTACTGCACCAAGAAGCCAATAGATTAAAACATGTTCTCTAAATGTATGTAAGAGCAAGAAGATACATCCCGTGCTCCCCCATAAGCTCTAGAGAAACACTAAGGAACATTTTAGAGGGTTTAGAGGGGGATTTCTTCCTTATATTTATATATATAAATATATATATATTTTGCTGATGCAGTATACAGTGTGTGTGTGTACGTGTGTGTGTATATACACATATATGTAATATATGTATATACACACAAATGGTTCCTGGAAAAGAACTCGGAACGCTTTGCTAGCAAAACACTGTGGTGTGCAAAACTAGGACTCAATAGAAAAAAGCCATTTCTCTGAAGGCCACATAGCTGAGAGTCTTCAGTTTACCTCATTCTTTGTAGCAGCCCTTGATTTTAACAGTTTTTGTAATAGGTACAAATGATCCCATGCCTTTTTAGGTGCAATTTTAAGTTAAGCTAAAATTCTTTTTATGGTAATTTATTTGTATATGAGGGTAGAAGGTGAAATCATGTCATACCTTAAAGTTAAAATCCTAATTTTGGGAAACTGACACTATTTAAATTATTAGCAGCTGTTGTACAGAGTCTCTTTTTCTACTGCATTGTCACATTAGCATTCATACATGTTCAAGCACAGCATTTTACCACAGGTAAGCATTTCTCTAGCACATGTAAAATGCAATGCTCAAAGTAATGCAAACACTATTCCACTGAAAGATGAATGAACTTACTGTCACTTAAGTATTAAAATGAGCAATATAATTGTTTAAATAATATATGCCTTGTTTACTGAAGTTATTTTAAATGTGGATTTAAGGGCCACCCAAATTTGGAGTAAATATTCATCACTAAAGGTAGTTTTATTTTTCAGAACAAAGATAAACCTTGGAATCCATAGATGTCATAATTCACTACTCCATCTAACCTTGCAGGAAGTACAATTTAGTGTCCCAGGAAAGCTGCCCTATTAGTATTGTCAGTATTTTCCAGTTAATACATGGTTTATCTAAGATTCATTATGAAAACAATAAAATTCTATATTTCAACTGCTGTTTCACTGAGCTTATTAGAACTGTGTTACTGAATAGACATTTTCCTAACACATTAGTGAAAGTGTGTGGTTGTTAAAATATTCCAAAGTAATCACTTATCTGATAAGCTTAAGTGTTTGAAAATAAGAGAATTCGCACAATTCTTTTAAACTGTGTGCCATTCACACCCTAATGGGTCCCTGTCCTCCTCTTCCATCTTTCCCCTCTCTCCCTCCCAAAGGTTATTTGCTGGATTAAGTCTTTTTTTCTTTTGATATTTTTTAACAAACTTGTCACTGCAATGGTCTATAAGCAACTTCTTTCCAGCCAGCTCACTCACAGGTGGAAGGAGGTGATTATGGATCACTACATTTTTCTGAAGTGTATTAATCTGTAAATATAGCCAGGCACCAACTTGGAGGCAATGGTTTAAATATGATTTGATTCCTAATTTAAGCCTTCTTCTGCATGAGCTGCCTGAAAGCCCCAGTGATGTTGATGGAGACAGAACACAAGGTTCAGCTGCAGCATGTGTGTCTGAATTTCTGATGTTACAGCTGCTGTATCCTAAGCTGAAGTATTCACTAAAACTTAGATTAGAAATTATGATTTTGGGGAAAAAAAAAACAAACAAAACACCCCTGTCAGAAATGTCGCTCTCGTGAATAGTTTTAGGAGATTTTTGTAACTGGAACACGGGGAGAGGAGAGTTTCTTAGCTGCTAAGATTCTCCACCCTCCCCAGCTTTGTATTTCAGTTATAGTATCGTCATGTATACAGTGGATTCAGGCTTAGATTAAGTGGATCATTGTGTGATTAAAAAAATGTAAACACTTATCTTGGAGCATACCCAGACTGTGGCTGGGTGACTGGAAATATATCTGATCTGCCAATGCTACTGTTATGAATTATTAAATGACAGCAGAGATTTAACAAGTAAATCGATGAAATAAATATTTCATCAGGAGCATCTTAAATCCAGAAACAGATGCAGCCACCTGCATTAAAAAAAACCCAAACACCTTCACAACCATTATTTGGAGAGACAGCTGTCAACAGTTGCTTTTAATGAGGTCACTAAGTACTATATAGTACAGTATTAATTTATAGCAGAAAAAAGTCGTATCTTGTAAACTGTATATAAAACACTGTTTTATGGTGCAATCATTTGTCAAACTTATGTCTGTTACTTTTGTTTTAAAGCTGTGTGAATTTTTTCATACCTAAGAGCATCACTGTAAAATCTGCTAAGGACTATTTATAGGTTTTATTTGCACAAGGTTTTGTTTTAAACTACAGGAAGTTTGTATTGAACACGCCTAAACTTCTGTAGACTTTTTCAGTTCATGAAAAGCAAATGTTTCCATGTGAATCTTCTCCAAAGGTAATCCCATATTTGTGTTGAGTGTTTACATAAACTTTTCTGATTCTGCCATTATTTTTCACTTTTAAAGGACAGCTTATTTCATATATCACAAGAGAGTCTTACTTAATCTTTTGCTTCAAAGTTCCCCCAAAGGTTTAATGTCCCAACATAATGTAATTTATGCACACATTGTGATGTGTTTAGCTAACAACATGAAAACTCAAAATACCTTCAGAAGGAAAACTAATTGATTTGTCTGTATAGATCTTACCATTGAGCTCAGCTGAAATCATCCGTTGGAAGCTGTTTGTCTCAGACGTGGGGAGGGTGTGCTTCCCTGAAAGCACCACTCTAACCATTTGACACCATTTTATGTTGTGAATCTTGCTGGTGAGCGATAGCAGTTTTCCAAAGACGCTGGTAGCGTGCAACACCACTGAGCCCCATCCTCTGACTGAGGTAAAGCCGCCAGGCTAGGGCTCTCCTGTCAGCCCTGTGTTTCAGAGCTGTTGTTTAACCACTTCAGAACACAACCGTAGATGACTGTTTACCCCAACACACCAAGAAATGAAAGCTGTCCTTTAAAACCTTTGTGAAGGATGAAAATAATGAAGGAAATGGTGTCTGCAAGCGGGTTGTCCTGCCTGGGCGTCACGTCGCTCCCCGCCCGAGGCCTGACCTTCTGCGTCCCCCGCCCCGGCCTTTACTGAGGATTGTTTTTTAATTGGTTAGAGCATTTTTCAATTAATGATTTACGAACAAATGTTAATACAAACTGTATAAAATGAACATAATTTTCTTCACTTGTATTTTTGTTATTGAGCAAGTTTATCAAAATAAATTGTCTACTAAAGCGACTGGCCTCGGCTGCGCTGATTGGAACCGGCCTCTCCCCACCCCTCAGGTGTTTCCTCAACCCCGGCACCGCGTCTATCACCGCCCCGGGGCGGTGGGAAGCGGCGTCGGCTCCTCCCGCCTGGGGCCCGACCGTCTCCACCGGCAACGCCGTAACACGCCGAACGCGGACAGCAGCCGGCCCGCTTGGGGAAAAGGGTCGGGTGAGTGCCGGGAGGTGCCTTGGCCTGACGAGGCTGAAGGGGCTTGGGGGATCTCTGTCACTGGCTCGGTGGCCGCCCGTACTTTCGGGACCTGACCAAGTGAGGCGGGGTGGAGGAGGGAGGGTGTGTGGGGAGTGGGGGAACCTTTTCCTCCGTGAGGTGAGTCGAGTCCCTGGGGATGGGGAGCTGGTGTAGCTGCGGGGCGGTTCCCCCGTGAGGCGGGGACAGTCTGGAAGGCAGAGGGCTGGCTGCCCTGACGCGCTGTGAACGGGAGGGCACAGGCGGGGTGAGGCGGGGAGCCCAGCGAAGTGAAAAGCGGGATTTTATCCTAGTTTTTGCTCGGTCTTAGTGCGCCACAGCAGGAAGGGCAGCTCACCTCACGGCCTCCATCCGCGCATCCCACAACCCTGGGGTGTGCCACAGTCCGGCTGTCTCCGGCTGCCTGCCCCTCACACAGCGCAGAGTTCTGGGGTTTGTGTTGGTTAATCTTTTCCTTCAGATTGAGCCGTGTAGTTAGAATCCTGCTTGCTGTGCATGCACATAATTAACAGCGTAAAACCCCTTAGCAAATAGCTCTTTCAGGGTAGTTCCTAAATGTGTTCTCTGTAGATAGGTAATTGTAATTTCTATTTGCAGCTGTGTTTTAATTTGCTGTTGTCCCATGTGCGATGTAATTATCATGTAAGTTGCTGGCAATATTAATACCTTTTTTTAATAGTATATACTCCTGAGGAGTTAAACTTTTTAATACTTTTCTTTTTTTCTTTTTTTCTTTTTTTTTTTTTAACAAGGCTAAGTCTATTTGAATAATAGATACACGCATCAAGAAAACGGCGCAGTTGAACAGTGATCAGGGTTTGGAAAAAGCTGGGTGAGAATACTGGTACAAAATCGTGTTGGGACTTCATACATAAATACAGAGTAAATAACTAGTTTGTATAAACTATGTACTATGTCCTTGCAAAACATTTATCATATATCAAATGGAATGTGTAAACAAATGTCAAAGTATGAAACATTTCCTGCTGAAAAAAACTTGTAAAGACTTTATGGCAATACAGGAATATTAGGAGTGATGAAGCAATAGAGTAAAATTCATTGTTTTGTAGGTTGACCAAGAAATCCAGTCTGCAGGGTGTTCATCCACCGTGTCATGACTTTACTATGTCGCATCCAGGATCAGATAATGCATTGCTGGTCACACACAGCAGCAGGATTCATGATCTGCTGGTAGGAGAGTTTTGTTGCTAAATGGAGCAACTAGAAAACTAGCACATGCCCACTGTTCATACAGAGTGGGGAATAAATGCATTGATAGGCAACTAATACATTTCCTTACATGTATTTGCATATAATATAATGACAGACATAATCACTGAAGTTAGAAACTACATGCAGAGCTGAATCAGTCTGTGAAAAATCAGGCAAAACAATAAAGGTATATCAGTTGTTCATACTGCCTTTTTCTTCAGAAGACAATATATACCCCTTTGAACTCTGTGAAGCAAGTTTTAGAGATACTTGGTATTTTTTTTTCCACTGGTAAATCACTGGGGTATTTATTTTAATTCTTTTGCTAAACTCTCCAATTTCTTTTCTTCCTTCCTTCTCCAAATTAAGTTCTCCTTCAGTTTACAATCTGGGGATGTACTGAAAGCTGCTTTTCCTTTACATCCCACATCCAAAAGAGTATGCCAGTGCCTAAGATTGTGTTGTTCTTCAACATGCACTGCCTACCAGCAACTCTCCTTAGGATGTACGTTTTGTCACATTTGAACAGCACATTTATTTTCTTGTACTGCATTTAATTTTTTGTTACTTGATCTGTAGAGAGTACAGATGGAGAAAGTACAGTTTGAAAAGGTGCAAACCTCTGAAGAATGGCTAAGAAACTACAGTTTAGAATCCTTGCAATTAACATTAGAGCATCTGGTAGATGAAGGCAATATTATTTTGTAAGTACAACAGTGCCCTTTCTTTGCTCTGTCATTTTTGTGTGTACCTCTGATGTTAATGATGCATGATGTTCCAGGAATTTAAGGAATGGTGTTGAAGAGATAGAGTTTCCAGAAGAGACTGTTAAGGATTTTGAGTCCAGACTTTCTGAGTAAGTATCCATCCTGTTTATGATTTTGATGCATAACTGATTGTGTTATCAGTTATCATCACCCATCACCCATAACTACAGGTAGTGCCTTAACTCTTAATTTGTTATTGGTGGGAATTTTAGAGTGTCTCAGCATTAAATCCTTTCTGCTGAGATTTAGGGTAGGTGATAATTCTATCTCACTACAGCTGAGGTTTTACTTTTTTAATGAGGGTGCCAATCAGGCAGGTTTTGAACTGAAGCAGTTAACTCATTTTAGAGAGTCAGCTAGTGAATGGTTGGATTTTCACAGTAAGACTGCATATTTGTGGATTATGTTTACTGTAACTTGGGTTAGTTTCAAGTCATGGATCTAGTGAGGACAATTGGAAGTTAAAAGTTTTCTAAGTGAATTTCAGATATATAAAATCAAGGAATTGTTTAAATTCCTTAAATTGAGAAAAAATGTGTAATTAGTAGATTGAATAAGCTGTAGAATAATCATAATGGTTTTGCTGGTCTTCACATTACTTGTAAGACTGTTCGTAGGAGTGCCACTACTTCAGCATATGTTACTGTGCCAAGTCATGAAGGTACAGAATCTTCCAAAGGTCCAACCTCAGTACTTGGGCCCTGAACCATTTAAGCAAACTGTCTGCAGATCTGGTTTAAAAAAGAAGTAGCTTTTGTGTTTTGAAAAAACAAAATGTTTTTTCCCTTTAAAATGTTGATTTAAACTTCTTGTTTAAATTATAAAAATGCATATAAGTTGATTGAAGTAAAACAGTTTTAGACGGCAGCGAGCATTTCATTTTACCTCAGGTTTTACCTATTTTGAAATGGAAATTGTTGAAAGTTATGCTGCAGTTAGTCTGGCACTTCAGTGAGTGTGCTGCCTTTCAACCACAAGGTTCTATCTCATGAGTTTCTTAAGCAATAGTGTAGTTTGTATTAAATACATCTGACAATAACCTGTGTATACTGAACTAAACTCAGTTTTGCCGAGCTTCTGTTGTGCACACATACACATGCTGAATACCCTTCTCCTACCTCTGAGCAGAATAAGCCAGCACCTGATTAGAAAACATTCTAGTGTTCTGTTTTTTCAGACAGCCACAT